TGGACTTGTGGCAGGCAGTGAGGTTGGTGCAAATTACCTAATTGTAAACATAATACCTACGAGTTCAGACGCCTCCTGCAATGAGGAAAAAAGTGTTAAAAGTCGGGGTAATCCAGATTTTCCAATACCTACAATAATATCTAAAAAAAAATAAAAATCCAATATGCTCTTTCTACACCAACAATGTTCAGCAGCATTTTCACCCAAAGTGTATATTAATCCCAAACTGTTGCAGATTAATACAAGAAAAGATGCTCATTCATTTCATTCATGTATAAACCTGCCTTTTCCCTTGTTTCATCACTTTTCTCACTCCTCCTCCCTTCTTTACCTCGTGCCTCTCTTTAAGCAGGCAGATGTTTCAGAGCAGTCATTTAATCAGCATCTTTATGGAACAATACAGGAATTTTAAGCCCTATGCCGGAAAAAAGCCTCGGCTGTCACACTCTGGATAATTGCCTCTGATGCCCAGATTCATTCTTCCCTTCAACGCTCCAGAAATGACAATGCTCTTGACTGACATTGCAGCTGATGTGAGAGAATGTCGAGAATTCAGATTTTGTGTTTGGCCCTGCATGATATTGCATCACATCATTTATCCTGCACTAATTATTTGATTTGAAAGTTTCTCAAAGACACTGCTGTCACGTTTCCCATTTCATTTATGATGACAGAGGAAGAATAATGTGTCCATGTGGGCGAGCTCCCACTGTTCCAATGACTACATGCAGTTTCCCTTTGATAGCAAAAGGCCAGTAGGAAGTAAGAGTGATGGAAAAACAACATCCAACTTCAACTATGATAGAACCAACTTGAGAGTTTAAAAACTTTGCTATGATTAGTCATAGCAAGGGATTTAACAATACTTCCAGATCACAAGACCATACAAGGAGTTTGTATACCAGAACAAGACAAGATTTTAGTGACCTTTCTGGAAAAACTAAGTACATTTTTTATTATTTTCACAAAAGATTAACAGTGTTTCAAGGCATGTGTTTCAGCCAATCATGCTTTCAGGTTGCCACAAAAGTTTAACACTGACAAAAGTCGCTAGATTTGTCCCTGGTCACATTTTTGAAAGTGGCTAGAGGGTTCTGAAAAGTTGCGAAATATCGAGACAATGTCACCAACTTGTCAAACTGTGCTCTTATCCTGACCACAGGTCATCTTCACACTTGGACATGCCTCTCATTGCACTACTTGCTTTGGTCGAATCTTTCAAAATTTGTCTTGAGGTGAGGTAATGCTTAGATATTAGCATCTGCAGTAGTTCCAAGACTGTTTCACTGTGTAAGGTATATTTGGTCTTTGAACTATTAAAATAGGCAGTTATAATTGTTTTCATAGAGAGGGATTAAAGTATTTGATGATTTTAGCTACTGGGGGTCAGTTCAATCAAACAGATTGAGAAAACTGTTGCTAGCAGCATAATGGTTTTCCATTATCTATTATATTATTATCTATTATATTGTCTTACAATTTTGAAACTACCTTGGTATGTCTTGGTGCCAAGATTCAAACTTAAGTCACTTATCTCTGTGCTTTTTAGGGCTCAAACTAATAGAATAAACATATGTCCCCAGACAAAGTTATCACTTCACAAAACCTAAAAGTAATCCAGCATCTTAATATTTCAAGAAGTTGTGACAGGAAAGTTTGCAACACCACCAGTAATGGCCATTTTCTCAATTTGAATTGACAGGACAAGCTCAAAGAAAAGCAGTTTTGGGAAGAGAGGGTTCCACATTACATATTATGCTTTAAAATCTGGACTATGATGTATAATTCTACATCAAAACTGAGGTTAAATGAAGTAACTGTACATTTTCACAGACTCTCAAGGCGTTATGACAAGCTGCCTTCCTTCCTAAGTACCTTCCATCCTTTTTCTCCCACTGGCTTCTGAGTGTGGATCAGAGTCATGTATTCATGCATACACATTAATGTTATCCCAAGGGAAAATTCATTTCCCCTGGCCTGGACACAATAAATCACCGTGGGCCAAAGTAAAGAGTCTGGAGTTGCAGAGTCTGGCGGCAGTAGCTTTAGTCAGAACTTTTTTCATCCAACAACATTAACCCAAGTACTTTCACAAGTTGAACTGAAATCCAAGTCAGAAAACATGGACATGTTTTTAAAATCATAAACGCAAGTTTGAAAGAAGAAGTCCACTTGTTCTGTTTAAATGTTTGAGCCTTTGTCGACGCTTCTGGGAAACAAGTTTCCGCAATGAGCCACATTCCATGTTTTGAAGCTGAATGAGTTTCATGGTCTTTCATCATCAATTTATCCCTCTTTACTTTGGTCTACAACTGTGGAAAAACTTAATCAAGAGGATGTGTGTGCACAAGAGACAGAACAAGATACTGTAGTGAAGAAATGAGAGCGGAAAGCTGTTCCAGACACAGTTTTCTGTTTGCCATCTAACTCTGATGAATTCAGAGGCACTTGTTTCCCCTTCCTCTTTCCTTTCTTCCCATCTTCTTGCTCAGTCAAAGCTACATATGACTTCAGGCTTTTACTTCCCAGTGAAAGAAGATTTCCACACAGATAAAGTGATAGCTGACCAAAAATCTGGTATCACTGAAATATGAACAAGTGCAGGGATCTACATGGCACTGAGCAATAGAGCACACTGAAAGAAATATTTGTAAATTTTACCCTGCAAGTCAAATTAAAGAGACATTCAAAACAATAAATACAAAATGCATTAATATCTATGAATTGTTTTCAGTATTGGTCACATACCAACCATCCATTTGAACTGAGAGTATGAGAGGATTATGCAGTTAAAGGGGCAGTATTATGTGCTTTCCAGCCACAATCCAGTAGCTATGTTACCTTCATTTGTTATAAAAATGCTATATACATTAAATATGACAAAAATAATTTGACTTCATAATTTAACACCTTGAAATTTGACATCTGTCTCATTAAGAAACTCCTTCTCTTTCTGAAACTTCACCTTCAGGGAGTCATCACTCGACCATTAACACTAACATTTTTACCAGCATTGTACTGAGAAGTAGCTCCCATAATGAGCTCATATTATGTTTGCCAATTGCTGTGGGCTAGTCTAAAAGAACCGAGTGAGGCAGCATGAAGAGCTGCTCTGTAAGGCAGAAGCTCAGTAGCTTGGAAACAGCAGTTCTGAGGAGGAGCTGCACCTTAATGGCGGTGCTAGACCCGCCCAGACATGCACGGCTGAGTGGTTGTCAAGGGAGATTTAAGGATTTCTCAAACATGTATTAAAGGATCAAGGCCAGGTACGTTTTTGATGAGGAAATAACATTATAACATGCTGTAAAAAAAAAAAGTCTATTTTACACGATGCTGCCTCTTTAACACCCTATGGTACTTCTGGAGGGGCAGAAGTACCAATCTCCAAGCTGAATCACAACTCAGCTTGGAGAATCTGTTGACAAGACAGCTTTCAGTTGTGCTATCCACAAATCTGACCTTTATCAAAGAGTGTGAACAGGGAAGCTGTTCTTAAAAGAAAATCATAGGAAGTCCCATTTGCAGTTTGCCACAAGCCATGCAGGGAACACAGCAGACCTATAAAAGATGGACAAATAAGACCAACGCTGACCTTTCACAGCCTGCAAGTAAAACACTACGTGTGGTGGAAAACTAACGCTGCACATCATTCTGAACACACCACCCCCATCATGAAATGCTGTGGCTGGAGCCCCAAGCTTTCGGGATGATTTTCATCAAGTCCACTGAAGCTGAAAGGTGTTGATAGGGAGATGGACGAAGCTAAATACAGGGCAGTCCTGGAACAAAAATGGAAGGGTCATCTTCGCTAGAAGGACCCCATGCATAGAGTCAATAGCTACAATTGAAAGGTTTGGATAGAAACATTCATCTGCGCCAATGGCCCAAGTAAGAAAATTACTGTTCAGATTCCCATCATCCAATCTAAATCTTGAGCTTTGTTGCATAGAAAATGGGCAAATCCTTCTCAATCTATATGTACTAAGGAGGTAAAAACAAATCAAAAGATGGATCATAACTGCGATGAAAAATGGTTGTAGAAAGAAAAATAAAACAATGAATGAATTAAATTGTACATTTTCATAGTACTTTTTGTTGAAATATATTGATTTGTGGTAGAAAAGTGACAAAATGTGAAAAATCTCAAGATGTGAGTGTTTTTTTTTTATAAATCTGTAAATCTATATTAATATACTAACCTGCAGGATTTCACAATCATAGGGTAAAGAAAACAACACATTAGGCAATTCCCTAAACAACATTATAAAATGCTTCAAATAGCTGGTGGTAATGGCCATAATAGGCCCCTTTGAGCATTTGAGTTGAAAAGGGTTTTTACTCCAACTGAGCTGCGGTTTACATAGTAGAGCAAAAAAAAAAAAAAAAAAAGCTGTTTTTGGCTGGGCTCCTTTATGGCACATGAGTTGACTAGACAAGCAATGTCTGCACCCCTTTTCCAGCAGTAACCATGGTGACAGTGGCAGGCAGGGGCATCCTCATCACCAGGGGGCAGTGTGGGCAATGCTACATAGTTGTCCATACTGCCAACCCTCTGTCTTGCGTACCCCACACACGGGCTGTACACAGTCACGCAAAAAAACTACACATGTGCCACACTGTCCAAGCAAATCCGAATGAAAATGGACACAAACGCACGCAGCCAAGCACAAATTCCACACATGCACCCTGTCATCTGCTCCTGACAGATGCCCCTTGGCGCTCAACAAAAGCCCCCTCCCACTCTTGCCTCTCTCCCGCTCCCTTTTGTTGCTCACTTATTGTTGAATTTCCACCAAACAAAAATGCACATCCTCCCATGACACCAGCAAATTGATTATTTATGGTGCCAGGAGAACTGACTTATAACTGACTTATATTCAAATGTGTGTGAAAGGCGAAGATGCTTGAGACAATGGATTCAATCTCTTAAATGAAAAGAGAGCAAAGTGTATTTACATAAGAATTTAAGGTTCTTTTTCCTCCTCTTTTTCGCCGATTACCTGCTTGTGCTGTATTGAACAAGCCTGGGAGCAGTTGTAGGACTGCGAGATGACTTCATGAGGGAATGCAGAATGAGATCAGGAAACAGGCGGCCACCTGACAGGGTCTGGAGGGAAAAAAAAGAAATCACACAAGCCCTCATCCTCATGTTTGCAGAGGTGAGAGCCAGACTTGCAGCCAGCGTGAAGATCGGTGACAAACAAACAACCAGACTTGTTATTCTGCAGGTCCCCGTGCCAGGATTCCTGCCCTTATCGCTGGCATCGAGTAATTTTGTTACACATGGTAAATATAGGAAGGCTTGTGACAGCAGACATCAGATAAAAGCTAAAAGTGCCTGGGCAGCGAAATGTGGAGATGGGGCTGAATGCCTAAACAGGCTGCTATGTGAAGGAGAGAAACTGATGAGTGTGGCAGGCAGATTGAGGTACTAAAGAACGGTGGAGGAGACGGATCCCGTCCCATGGAAATGTGTCATGAAGGCAGTGCTATTAACATCTTAATAAAAGGCTTGCCAGGCCCTGGAGAGCCCTCCTGAGTAGACTGCCTCCTTCTTTCCACACAGTGGCCCTAAAGCCGCTTTTTGCTGCATATCAACGAGGAAACATTTAGGTTGTGCCAGTCCTGCATTGTGAGGGTGTTAGACTTCCCAAAGGAGTAGCCTAAATGTCTATCCACAAACATGCTCTGCTAAATTCCTTTATTCCCCCTTTCCCTCCACTTTCATTTACTGTTCATTTCTCCATCTGTTGGATTTAGTAGCCATACAAAAGCCTTTGTTTCAGCAAGCTGGCAGGCCTTTGGGACAGCAGAGTGCACTCTGGGGTTCAGTGCTAACTTGCTGCCATCAATAGATAGAGCAGGATCTGGACCAGCCACAGCAGCACCAGGCAGAGGGAGGACTATTAACCGTCCTCTGATGAAGCTTGAAGCTGGCTGCTGCCTGTCTGTCTGTCTGTGTTGACACACAGGCTGCTTTCTTCTCCCAGCCTGACAGAATTCCTACTGACTCCTACATGAGTCTGTTACTAGTATCATGGCATATCAGGGTTTTAAAACGTGCTCCTATGGTTTAACCTGCTTTTAACGAGAAAGTCCAAGAGTGATTACGGTTTTCTCCGTCTTTTTGGGGATCAAGTAGCTGCAGCCGCTCCCCCACCTGTCGCTGCGCCCTGTCGGTTGATGAGTCACGAGAAGGATCCTCCTACACGTTCCCCTTGCTTTTTTTCTTCAGAGAAAAAACAATTCAGGTGTTTCAGCACATGAGTAGCTCTGCTCTGCCCCTCCCACACCTGTAGCTGTGCATTGTTTAGCAGACTGAAGGAAGAATGGTACAGATTTCTCTAACTTTCTCTTGTTCTGATGCTTTTCTTGTGTTAATAAGAAAAATAAATTCAGCCGTCTGATCCTGTGCACAATGCACTTGAAAACCACAACTTCATTTTATGGAGTTGTGTTCTTCGAGTTCAAGCTATGTGCAAAATCAAACTACCAAACGCAACATCTGAATGTTAACAAAATATGTCATTACTTTTGCAGCAATAGAAATAATTTTTGCAATTTCATCAAGTTCCACATCTTTGTAAAAACGTTGCATTTTATCTCAAACTTGTAATAACATGAGAATCTTTTCGGTCCCTGAAAAGAAAATAACTTTTCTTACATCGAAAATAAATATGTATCGAAAAAAGATATTTGAGAAATTGAAACTTTATTTCTCCCTTCGTTTACGGAAATTTGAAATTTACTCCTTTGGAAAACAAAAAGGACTTTTTACATCTAGATTGTCTTTTATCTTTATTTTGTCCCATCACAACCCAGATAAATGCACACTCAGACAAATACCTAAAAGACTCATCTCATCGTTTTTCAGGCCCTCTAAACTCCCTTGAATTTTATCTGGACTTTAGTTTTTAAACAGTACTTTACACAGACATACTTATAGAGCACAACAAAAAACATAAATAGTGAAAAGTGAACACAAAATGTGATTTCAGGTAACAGCTCCATGGCAGGAAGGAGCCTGGGGATAGTGAGAACTTCCACTTTAGGAGTGGCATTTTCTTTTTCAACTGCCCAATGTTTTTCACTGTGCATCATGAAAGAATGAAATGCAGAGTGGCATTGATTTCTGCACTCTGTGCCATGTGTTGCTCATACTGGGCAAGCTGCTACTTAACAATGTAGTGGCCTGTAGTCATCAATTTAAAACGGTTTCAACGATTGGATAAGTCACTGAAGCCTGCACACACAGCTACTCAAGATGATGAAAATGGCTTCGGCAGCATGACAGCACCATTAAATGTGACCCTGTGGTGTTTTCCAACATCTGTTATTGTATGAAAATTATCAAAGCTGAAGAACAGATCTATGGTATATGCATGTTGAAAACATGAGGGGTTCATCTTCACTAGAGGATTAGCAACCAAATCAGAGACCCTTTGGCACCAAGTGGGTATGTGCTGGTAAGATTCTGTTGTGTGAAGCAGCAAACAAACCAGATAAATGTTCCTCCAAGTACAAAAACTCTAAAAGACTTTGAACAATGTAAAAACAATTTCTCTCAGTTTCGCCGTCTGAATGAACTCTGAAGAAAACACTGGTTCCTTTAACAGCTTTATTCACTGTTTGCAAAAATCTAACTCTGAGCCAACTTTCCATGGTAAAACTTTCACACCAAAGAGTGCCATTAACACCACCTTGCAGTGGTAAAATGTGGAGTGTTCACTGCTAATACCAGGTTTGTGTGCTAGTGATTACTGAGGCTGGTAAAGATGCAAATCCCCTCCACATACCCGCCAAGTGCATTTCTATAATATGTTACATCATTTCAGGAGGAATATTTGTTGCATTTCTGTTTAAAATGAAAGACATTAGATAATGTAATTGCCTAATTATATTATTTTGTTAAATCTCAAAATGAAATGATGAAGCAGAGAACTTCTCTCCGCTAATGTCGAAAATAAAACAGTTTGCAATTGTGTTGTTTTCATGAAATGAACAATTAAAATCGCACATAAATTAGTTTTTTCACACAATAACTACTTCCTGTTTTCTTCTTCATTGTTTTCACCAGTGATGTGATGCAAAAAAAGTGTTTCCATTGCAATTCTGTGAAATAAAATAATTTCACCTCATCCTAACGCCAAAACTTTTTATTGATAAACAAGTAATTTCAAAATTGCCATGTTTACAATTCATTTTTGAAATATTAAATTGTGTGATTATATGGTCAATGGAAACACAACTTGTTAAAAACCAGCAATGCGCAGCAGGGGAATCTTATCCCTTAGGTTAAAATTATGTGCAACATGTGTAACAACTATAGAAAAATGGAAAATAGAATACAGATTTCAATATAAAAAGTAATATTTAGCTTTGAATATTTGAAGCTAGCACACCGATTCCTGTTTCAAGTAGGTTACTGTATCAATGTTTTATCTGTCAATAGGACTGTTATGACACAACAATATGAGCGTATGTTTTATTGGAATCAACAACTATTTCAGGAACCATCTCCAAATCAAGACTTGATTCCAAAAAGTGGAGAGATTTTAGTGACATTGTCACAATTAACAGATAAACAAGAAGCACAGAGCTATGATAAGGAAATAAAGTATTTGTGATCTTCTGCTTTTTTTTTTTTTCTAAAAACTGAACTGACCAAGCATCCTCTCTGACTGCTTTCCATTTGCTCACTGTCACCTACAGACCCAGATCTGCGTTTATGTCGATTCTCACGTGCTTACACTCACCAAAGTGCAGATTGCAGACACAAACATGTACATAACGAGGCTGAATGAGCAGAGCGTGTGTGGGTCAAGGAGATTGAGATCTCAGTTGTGACAGCTGGACAGTTGAGAGGTTCAGATAAACAGCCTGCAGGAAGCCAAGACGGGAGGCCAATGGCATTAAAACAAACACTTTGCTATTTGCACACTCCAGCAGATAGGGGAAAGAAGGACCTATATCTATCAGCGAAAGAGTCACTGAAGCCACAAAAGCTCCATTATGTGCATGTTTGCGTGCATGTGGAAGCAAATAGACAGTTGGGACGGCGGGGGTTGCTGCAAATGATGATGGGGGGTTAGGGAGAAATCGGGTCTGCGTTCAGAATACAAAACCGCTGAACACATTTGCAGCATTCACTCATTAAGAAATAGGTCAAGGATTCTGCTCGCATGCGTAGCAACTTGTCAAAATCTCTCAAGCTGAACTGTGGCAAGCCTCTCTGCCTTAAGGGGGGGAATCCGTAGAGGAGCGAGCACTGTGGTCTGCCAACACAGACCACAGTGCTGTGACATATAGCACACAGAAAATAAGCAACAATTCAACGCAAAGTCCAATTGTGGAATGCAAACGATCTCAACTCATTGCTCTTCATCAACAGAGGACGCTCTTGAGCCAGCGGAGTTTGTCGCCGATGCTGATGGATGCTGATAGTGGCAGTGGTAGCTGAGGGTTATGACAGTCTTCAGAAAGTCTGCAGTCCATTAGGGAAGCACTTGCTCTTACAGCAGTAAAGGTCACTTTTCTAAATGAAGTAACAGTGATTAAAAAGACATTTTAGGGGTGAAAACCAGTTCCATCCTGCCCGGACTTTGATCTATCTATAAATAAAGTCATCACTCTGCATTTTAAGCAAGCAAGACGGAATATTTTCCAATGGAAAATCTGGTAAATCTGGACAGACTTGTGCAAACTGCTTTACTGGACACATAATAAACGAATGCTTTGACAGATATTACAGCTTCTTGCAGCAACTTTGGAAAACAAGCCCAGTCCGAGTAATTTCTACCCAGCTCGGTAAGGTTAACCTTATTGATCGTATCAACGTGTGATGTTGAGGTTCACGAAAGGCAATCTCGGATAGAAAGACTTCAAAGGCACCGCTTTAAAAAAAAAGAGAATTATTTAGAAAGAAGAACAAACCTTCTGCTCTTCTTTATGTTGGTTCATTAAACCTGTCAACAATAGCACAAACGCCTAAAAGTCAAGGTAAATTTGAGTGACTGAAGCTTAGTGAGGGTTTATAAGTGGCAAAAAGAAAAAAAAAATCCAAACGCAAGACAAAGAATAGTTTCTTAATGATATAAGAGTTACTGAAAAGCTCAGCTGGTCTGAGAGAGCAACAACACATAGAGCCTGCTTCTTTTTCATTATTAGATTGGAGTTAATTAGGTGAGCATAATCAGCATGTTATAATCTAAACAATTGTGTGAGCTAGTTTGTTCTTCTAAAGGGAGCCGAATGACACCCCCTCCCTTGCTAACGGTTGCTTTGGGGAGGGGAGACGCAAGGCTGTGTCCCTTTGAGATGGATATTAAAATAATTGTGTGCGGGGGGTCATGCTTCAGAGGCTCCAAAAATGTGATTTTGCCAGGAAGGAACTGGTTTTGATTGCAAGGGCAGAGGGATTAATATGCTACCCATCAGCGGCGGCAGATGCAAGTCATTTTCATGCAAATGCGAGGCAATTTTCTACTTAAGACAACATTTATTTTCTTTGGAGTCACTGTCATGGGTGCTCACCAGGACACTGGGAGTCTGACAGAGAATTAAGATTTGTAGGTGTATCGGCTGAATTGGACAGATGAGGTCTGGAGCCGTCCATGGAGCTCTATGCTGATGACAGTAAAGGGCAATAATGTAATAACACAACTGACAGAGGTCTGATAATGTGAACTAGATTAGTGATCCGGAGAGACCAAACCAAGGAAGATATTTATGAGTCAGAAAATCATTTCTGTCTCAGATTCAAGGCTCACTTGTTGCAGGGAAGCAGGTCAAAGTCAACAGCCTGACGGAGCAAGTTAAAATTGTCAACTGAATGGACTTTGAGTCTAATTTACTTGATTAAGGTCAATGAGTCAGAATCACTTGACTGCAGAATTGTGATGACTGTAAGCAAAAGGAAGTAAAATGTTCGAAGACTGATCAGTCTTCGAAATTCTTTCGGCTCTTAAATGCCGAAAGAATTTAAGAGCCAAGAATGCTGCAAACCTGAATTCTCGTCTCAGTTGGAAAAGTTGGAAAGAAATTAGGATTTCCAATCTCAGTTTTCATGCATCTTGGCACGCTCTCCGCCGGTTTTTCACACTGCTGCTGGGTTCAGGTGATGACACAATCTGTTTCTCATCAAGTATAATCAGGTGTTTGAGTTAAAATTTAATTGAAATGGAATTTCTGTCATACATGTAATGATTTTAGGGAAAAAATAAAAGTGTTTAAATTTTGTATTAAAACTGTATTAACTGTTATGGTTGAAGATGCAAAAACTATAGATTTTTTTTTGTTTTTGTATTTTTTTTTTTTTAACATAAAAGACAGCCAGGCAAATATGCAAAGACTCTGGTCCATGTGCCGAATCTGCAGGTTACTGCTCTGCTGTAAAGGTTTGATTCATAAGACTATGTGTGATGAACGTTTGTTTGGGCGTCAGAGTGTGAGCTGTGGCACCGACACAATGTAAAACAGGCTGCCACCTTATCAAAGCCTGCAGCCAGAGATGATAAATGTCTCTTCCCGGTTGTCTCTATGCAGTGTCGGAAATGAGCTCTCCTGCAGTGTCGAGAGGGGCTGTTTTGTGGCACTCAGTGTGAGATTCCAGCAAATAAAAATTCCCATAAAGGCAGATTTATCCGAAACAACTGAGGTGATCACTCACCTCTTCATTTTTGAACTGGATCTCCTGGTTCCTTCAAGACAGGCAGTTGTTGATGCGCTCCACTCACATCCACGGAAAGAAGAAGGGGGTGAAAAAACGATTCCAAATGCGCTCAGTACAAGGTTGTAAGGGAAATCACAAATGCAGTGTTAGTTGGGTCAGTCCTTTAATGCAGGGTAGCCTCTCTGCAGGAAGGACCTGTTAAGCGGTGGCGTCATTCATTCAAAGTGGACACCTTGGACGTAGCAGCTGATTGCGAATGCAGCGCGTAAACTTCACAGCAGAGCCCGGGCGTCAGCATCTGAACTGACCTCCTGTAACGTTAACTTCAGCGGACCGTGTCAGTGCGGCAGCGGTGCATTCCTTCGGGTTCCGCAGTCAGCCTTCCTCCGGTGCGGCTCTACGCTGCGAGCCTCCAAGCCGCAGCCAGGCTCGCCATCACCCGCCGGTAGAAGAAGAAACGTGTTAGCGTCGGTGCAGACCCGCAGCGTGGCTTCCTCACAAGGCTCTGCCGGACTCACACTCACAGAAGACTGGCGGCTCCATCAGAGTACAGCGGTGTGTTGTAGCTGCGTGTTTGCGTGCGTGTGTATGCGTGTGTGCTGCCATTGGCACAGAGCGCGCCTAAACCCAGCCCACTCACACTCCAGCTCATTACGGCGTTAACTGTTTCCGCCCAGAATTACACATTTTGTACATAATTTGAAAACTTTGTGTATGCAAAAAATAAATCAGAATTATGTCGTTGAAATAAAAGCTTTACTGAACACAGATTAATATATATTTTTAGATGCACTAGTTAAGATTTAGTTTGATAAAAGGTGAAACATTTTTCAAAGTTTTCCCGTATTGTTTAACAGAAACAAAAATACTTTCGGACTGACGCTCCAGTGTTGTAACATTTAGATTGCAGCTACAGCAACTCTGCAACTGACACTTTTTGCATTTTTACCTGACCAAAGCGATATAACATGGACACAGTTCTACAGTAGTCGCATCAGGTTAAAAAATGAACACGTCTTACCCATCAGTTGACTTTGTCTTCACAGCACACAGTCCCCAGTCACTGACAGGTTCTCTTCTTCTACTTTGTATTAGAACACTGCCATCTATAGGTCAAAATTTGAATATCTCTCTCTCTCCCTTTTCTCTCTTCATCTCTGTGTCTCTCTCCACACGTACGTTGCTCATGTCCAGTTTTGTTTTCTTGTTTCCATTTCTCTTTTGGACCTGAATCATCTGTGTCCTCAAATTTATGCTGAAACGAGCTGATTTTCAGGTAACACAGCAAAAAAACAAAGAGTTTCTAAATCCTATTCACCCAAAATGATCAAATGGACTGTGGCATTAGAGAGGAGGACCTTCACAACATGGAAGAAATATATATTTTACCAGAGAAAAAAAAATGCAAACAAATTTACATGCTGCGCATATGTAATATGTTATATCAAGGTGTTGTATTAGGATTCTATCAGTTTATAAACCAAAACAACAATGGTACTTGGAATTGGCCTGTTAAATGGTGCCACATTTTCATTCCTAAAACACAAAGTTAAATGTATCTCATTAGGATTGCATATGATTTACCAGCAAACAGTATTCAACATCGAGACACTGAAATCTTTGCAAAACAGACAGCTGAAGCTCAGTCAGATTGGATGGAGTGTGACTTTAAACATTTTCTCACCACACATTCTCATCAATTGAATTCAGGTCTGGACTTCGAATAGGCCATTATATGGCTCTGGTTGTATGTTTTGAGTCACAGTCCTGTTGGTAAACCTCTGTCCTGGTCTCAATTTTTTTCCACCCTTTTACAGATCTTCCTCCAGGCATGCTCTGTATTTAGCTCCACCCATTTCCACTCATTTCTGAGCAGTTTTATGTCCCTGCTGAAGCAACACTTTGCCACAGCATGATGCCCCTACTAACAAGTTTTATAGTGAACATGTTCCGTATGGTGTACAGCGATACTTTTCTGCTAAACAGCATTTTGCACGAAGAGGGTTGAATACAGTTTTGTTTCAAGGAACTTTAAAAATGATGTAGCATTTTCCTTTAATCTTAAACTAGTTTGCTACTTTTTGTTAATCTAACGCAGGAAGTCACTGTAAAGCAAGTTTTTGAATCTAATGTGGCAAGATGTGGAAAAGTTCAAGGATTAGCTATTATTTTTGCAAAGTACACCAACTTTAAATATAAAGGCACATTTTCAATGTTTTCCAGTTGTATGAAGTTTTTTATCTCCCAAAGATATCAACTTTGACATAGTTACTAGCACATCAAAACAAAACTCCGACCGTGTGCATCTTTGCTCTTTTTTGGATGGTTATTGCAAAAAATAGGCTATCCACTTTCTCTGATGCATCAATAATGCAGAGTAGGGAAAAGGGAGCCAGTGTCTGCCATCAAAAGTATTGCAAAACTGCCACGAGGAAGAAGATGTGGAACAACCAGCATAAGTACACTAAAAGCACAGCGCCCACTTAAAGACAGGGTCAATAGCTGGAGGGCGTCCATATTGGAATTCTGCCGCAATGCCTCTCAAATGGATCTCAGTCAACCCTGGGCAGCAGGGGTAATCAAATACAGACTTTTTCAATCCATTACTCACGACCCTGTTCGGAACAAGCCATGATTTGTTTGATTGGAATATAACTCAATTCATATTGAAAGAACAGGTTGCTACGGAACAGTCTAGAAGAGATTTGGCCCTTTTTGGACAGAAAAACATGATAGATTAACTTATTCTGCAAGGAGAAATTTAGTTATTACCTACAGAACAACTAAAGCCGTTATGCTTCACTTTCAAACACATATCAAGAGAATGAGTCTGGTTTTGGTGGCAGAGACTGTAAAACAAAATAGTGAGGAGAATATTGCTCAGATTGAAATTCGAAAAATGTGCTGAATCAGCCTGATCATATAATTTATATCAGGTTTTTAAGTTGTCAGTGGATATGCCACAAATGGGAGACAGTTTAGCAGGCAGGTTTCTGCCTAGGTCTCCTGTGTGTCATAGTTTGAGGTTTTATTCCTATAAACACCTAAAGCCAATGCAAAGAACCAACAGTTTCTTATTGGTGTGATCATAAATCAGGGATTCTTGTCCACAGTGCAGAATGAAACCCCAATGAGGTTTACAGTGACTAGCCCTAATCTTGGTCAAATTTTGTGACATTACAACAAATCTCAATGTGCTTTACTGCAGTTTTATTCAGCACAACAAGAAATGGAAGAAAAATGGAAAAACGGTCCATACTTTTCAAAAAAATGTTGCTATCAAAAAAGTATGGCGTGCTTATGTATTCAACCTCCCCTAAGGTCATGGTTTGTAGAACAACTTTTCTCCACAATTACTGTTGTATGTACAGTAAGGATGGTGTTATGGCCCAAGGCCTTTTCCTTTGGGTCTCTAACATCCATGTTTTGGACTCCTTAATTGGTGCTGATTGGAAGTGGAGGCAGCTGGCCAGTGTCTCCAGATGAGGTCAGATCCATCTTAAGATGCACCACTTTCTTTGACTAAGCAGCTCATTCTTTCTGTTTCCCTGCCACTCTCTCTCCTTTCTCCACTTCTTCCCCAATCAGTTATGATTTTTATTAAATAAATTCCCTTTTAAGTTATCCCATGTGCTGCTTCCTTTTTATTTGTTATGGTTTAAGAGCCAGACCATAACAATGGGAATCTCTGATCTCTACCCGATACAATAAACATCTGGATTCACATGCTACAATCCAATACATAAGATTTCGTCTCATCAACCTGTTAGCGATGAGACAGATTCAGTTAGATCAGAGTTCAGTCCTCATCACGATGCATCTCGATTTAAATGAACTTAGCTGAAAAATATAGTTTGTGTAAATATTTATTCATTAATAAAACTGAATAAAACAATTCAAATATACATAATTTATTGCTGAATTGCTGTTTTACATAAAGGTTCTTTACAAAAAAGTATGTCATATAATCTTTGTGCGGGAAATATTTGAGTGATTTTTGATTATGAATCCTGTTGTCAGTTGCTATGGCAACGAGTCTATGTAGCATAGCCAACAGAGAACGAGAAAAACGAATAGGACTAGTTTAGAGTAATTCTTCAACGGTTTTTCTGCGTTATTTCCCCCTTTGCTGCGGCTCACTG